TTTAAATTTGTAATCCTTTTCATTAACTTAATTATTAAATCCTAAGTTAATCTATTTCAATTTTCAACTCCTTGGAACAATTTCCATCTCCATTGGAACAAGTAAGATTTGACTTAACGATTTGTCTTCTTCGTTGTGTTGTTGTCCCATTTTTTTAGGCACGTCACTTTTTATGAAATTGAATCAATGAATTTCGATTTTGAGATTTTCTGTATGTTTGATAAGAACAACTATTATTATTGTTATTATATATTGAAATAAGATTAGATTTTTTTTTCTGTTTTTTTTTAAGGGGTTCTTAATTTCAAAATGGTGAATGTTGATGACATGCTATGATAGAAGTTGTCAGTAGCTTTTTTGTTTGTATACATTATGAATTTGAAACAGTTCCAATATTTTATATTATCCATGCGAACTTCATTAGACATTATAATGTTTAAAAAATTACTTGCATGTTGGTTTTGTTCAAGTTAGTAGAGGTTTTCATCAAAATAATCATTTTGAAGAACTTCAATATTTGTAGAATGAATTATTTATTATTTAGGGAAGAAAGTTTGATTGTGTGGTCAAGGTTTAAGTAATTGTGACAGAGTAAGTGTCTAACTTTGTTTAATCGAAAACAAGCTACTAAATTTTTTGTATTTTACATTTGATTTACAAATTATATAGCTAAATTTGTTTTATATGTTAATTTTTTAATTGATAGAATATGTAAGGACTGTTGTTATGCTTTTAGTTACGGAATAAATGAGGTTAATTTGTTATGAAATTGTTTTTAAAGTGTAAAATGATTGAAGGTTGGATTAATTTTCACATATTTAAATATTTTCATTGTTGAACCACTGAATTTTTTTATTATATTAAGAAGTATAAATCACTTTTTAATATAAAAAATTCTTAAAATTACTTAATTATTACTAATCACTTAATAATTAATATATAGTCAATTTTTATTAGTGATATTTCATGTATAATTTGAAATTTTAATATAAGTTTCAATATTAAAAATAAAATGCAAAAATATATAAAGAAAGTAAATTGTAAAAAAAAAAATATAAGTATTAGTATAATTTAATAATCATCCTTAATAATATTTATAATCATTAATGTCACATAATGGAACCATGATCGTTTTTGTCACATTTCTAAATTTTTGATTTACCAATGTTTTTTCCTCTCGATTTTTTCGTTTAATAATATATATTTTCAATTTTTTAGCTCTTTGATTACATGAACCCTTCTTTTATAAAAAAATCATTCGATTAATCTTTTACACTTTCAATTCTCTTTTATTGAATATTCTTTGATTTTCATTATCTTAAAATAAGGTTTACCCACTTAATATTGATTCTTACCTCAAACTTCAATTTTTTTTTAATTCATTCTTTCTATATATATTTATGAATTTTTCATGATAATTAATTATTGCAATTTTAACGTAGTTCAAGTAATGATTTTGTTTATCATGTAGTTATTGAATGTGGAGGTATTATATTATGATTTGAACGAACTTCATTATTGAAAAAAAATGATTGATTATCGTAGGGTTTACATTATAGCTAAATTGTGCCTTTAACACAATTTGTAGGGAACAAAACAAGCATATTTAGTGACTTTATTTTTACTTTTTTATTGTTGTTGTTTTCAAGTTATTTTCAGCATAAACTCCATTTATATCATGTGGACAAATACAATGAAAAATGTAATTTGGTGGATGATTCAGTAGTTGTTTAATTAAGTATAATAATTTGTTAATTATGTTAATGAAAATGGATCCCTATTATGTTTTTAGGATGATTATTTGAAATGAAAATTGACCATAAAATATGTTAAAAAAATAAAATTTATATTTCAGATATTGAATAAAGTCAATTATTTTGAACATAAACTTACATTGTAGGATTAATATTATGTATTATGAATTTTAATTTTTTTAAAATAAATTTAAAGAATAAAGTTAATTTTATCGAATTTGAGTTCATTGGTATTTTGTACGTTGATTCCATTATTTTTGTTAGACGTTTATAATGTAAAGTTTGAAAAATTGATTTTGATAATTATCAAACTTGTGCACTTTCATCCCTATACAACTTTTGGGCACATCCGTCCCTACACACATTATTATGGCAATAGGTGTTTCAACCCTAATAAATTAAACACAGTTCAAGTAAAGACATATATAATGTAAATAAGCAAACACCAACTCTTTGTTAGAAATAGTTATATTCAAGTAGATGAACAAGTTTTCCTTTACCAAGTTTCTAGTTTGGTTTTATAGTTTCTCTTGATCGGGAGTTTTTCTGTTGAAATACGTTTTGTTCAATTTTGGCAGTAAACAGGTTCTGTAAAACAAAACCTCCTTGTAATGATGAAGCAGGGTGATGGCGAATTGGCTATGAGCCAAACCCAGTATCAGATGTGGCCCTGGCAAAAAGATTCCCTGACCTGACCCAATTGATTTGTCAAGTTATGAACGAGTTAAGATTCAAATTTATATTTGATCTGATGATGAATGTCATCATTAGTTAAAATTTACAAGTTTTCAAAATATGAAGTTAAAATAAAACACTTGTTTGCCAATGTAAAGTAACTTTTGATTGCAGAAACTGTTGGATTATTCCCTGGCAGATAATTGGTAGTGGTTGAAATAATTAGCAATTCATAATGAATTTTATATGCAGAACAGAAGAGATAAAGATGCCGTTGTGCAAGAGGGCCACATGGGAGGACCAGTTTGTTTTGCTGTGTTGTCATTCTTAATGACACCACCAACTTGTAATGTTCTAACATCATACCTTATCATGACATTTTCAAACACTTTCTAATCCATCTGTTCTTTTCAAGCACAGCGTGATTCGATCTAATCGAGGGATAAGAAAAGAAGAAGAATGAGATGTCAATTTGGTAAAAAGCATATGTCCAATGCTTTTTCTATTTTCCCCATATTTCTTCACCTTTTGTGGTTCACATTTCAAGCCAAGTCCATTATCGACACTGATTATGGTTTTGTTCTTATCTAAATTGCTTTCCGCAAAAGGGTCCTAACCATAAAACAATCAACCTTTTCCATGTCACTGTTCAGTTAATGGAAAACAAAACAAAGAAAAAAGGATGCAACTTTGTTGGTGCAATAGTTGAATCATTTTGTGGGCAATCAATTTGAGCAACCGAAAATAAAAAAAATGAAAACAAAGATTCTCAAATAATAATTCTTTTTCAAGTGTTTCTTCACCTAGGTTCACTTGAGTATGGAGTCACAACTTAAGATACTTCTCTTTCTTAAGTAAATGGGAGAAGGTTAATAAAAAATACTTCTCTTTCTTAAGATGTATAATGATGGATCTCAAATTGGCATTAACTAATCAATTTGAGTAACATATTTTTGGATTCAAATTGAGTAATGAATTGGTTTGGGAAATGAAAAGGTGGGGATGGGAAATCTTGTGTGAAATCTGAAAAAGAAGGTGCAAATGATTGCATAGAGGGTAGAATCAAACCAACTGTAAAGCCAGGAAAAAACACACACACACACACACACACAAAATTGGACCTGAAAGGCATATATCAAATACACAAAACTCACATCACTCAAATCCGAAGTGTTTAATAAAGAGTTTAGTTAAATCATGGAAAGTTAAATGATATGCTATACCCAAAATTCGGATATTCAGAAATAGGAGATTAGATGGCATTTAGTAAATTCTATATTCTCATGCTTTAATTGCCTTTCCACACCAATTATATAATTTGCAAAGACTCATATATTCTTCAGGTTTTTAAAGTATTAATTAAGTAAAATAAAATACACATATCATGTCATTATATATGGATACATTTACAAGCTATTTATTATATATATATATATATATATATATATATATATATTAAACTTATTTGTTAAAAAAAATTAATTTAAATATAGAACTTTTATAACATTAGTTCAAGTATGACTTTTATAAAATTTACATACACAACAATGTGTAATTGGATTACGTCATTTTTTTTCTCCTTGCATTTTCTTTGTAGAGAGCAAATATTTTAGTCTATGTATACACTATTAATACTTATTAATTTTTGGAAAATAAATATTTTTAATATAAAATGATATTATAATTAAGTTTATAATAAATATTACCTTTTGATCATATTAATTATATTTTATATTAATATGCATTATTATATAAGACTATTTTTCATTATTGATATTTTTAAAATATTGAAATTTATTTAAAGATAAAACAAGTTAAGTTAAGAAAATTTCTCAAAGAAAACTTTCATGCAAAAATATTGTTTTTTAATAATTAAAAAAATACTATATATATGTAGAAAATCCTTAGTTATTTTCGGAAAATCTTCTTATAAAAAAATTTATACAAAATAAAAGAAAAAAAAGCTTTTTTAAGTTTAAATTATTTTTTATGCATGAAATAAAAAATAAAAATGTATAGATACTATATAAGAAAAATTATGAAGAAATTTATTTATTTTTGTTTTATGTTTAGAAGAAATTTCTAAAAATGTGTCATTGTCTAAATAATATTGAATATTAAACTTGACAACTCTACCCAACACATTAATTTGTTAGCTATGGGAACTTACTTTTATGTTAAACTCAACCTGATGGTAAGCAGTTGATTCTAATTATAAATTCTACGGAAATTGTTATTATCTTATAATTATAAAAAATTGCCCAATTTCCCTATGCTGCCAAATTACCTTAATCATAAAGGTACTACTAAGAAAGAACCACCATTTTGGACAAAACATGAAAAAGTTGCGAGTCACAAACAACGAAAGGTCACGTTCCATCCTCGTTTTCCTGAGGCAAACCATCGTTAGAGTGCTTTCATAAGCAACGACAACCCAATAAGGTTATCTGATCTGATACAACACTAGTGCCAAAATCTATCTTCACCCACAAAACAAACAAAACTAAAGCTTCAAACTTTGCCACCAATTCAGCGACCCGTTTGCCGGAAGTTCCATTTTCCCGGCCAAGAATGGCGGTAGAGAGTGACAAAACTGGGTCTGATGGTAAAGTTTGGAGCTTTTGTAGTATGCCATTTTGGCAAACAACTCATCCTTCTTCATCTTCTACTTCAACTTCTTCTCTGCATAATAGTGTTCACCATCAGAGCCAGATTCTTCAGTCTCTTGATAGATCCAGTCATCCACCTTCCACCACTGTTTCTTCTGTGGCTAAGTCTTTGCTCCCCACAAGGAGAAGGCTCCGTCTTGATCCTCCCAACAAGCTCTACTTTCCTTGTATGCCTCATTATTGATCTTTTAACTTTTTTTTTTTTTTGCATCTGTTGTTTTTCTTACATTAACCAGTTCAAAGTGTGGTTGTTGTACCTAATTGCAATCTGATTTCTTGTGAGTGGATTGTTCATGACTAATGTGCCAATTTGTGAGTTCAGCTTTTGGTTAAATTATTCATTTGGTCCTTATAATTGTCTTCATTTTGAGTTGTAGTCCTTATAGTTATCTTCGATTTAAGTTTTAGTCTCTACACGTCATAAAGGTTAAGTTTTCGCCTCTGGTGTTAAGACCAGAGAAGAATTTCTGACAGTGTAAAACCATTACAGAAACTTTCTGACAGTGATAAGAAGACTAAAACAAGAAGGATACAAGTATAAGGACAAGGTGTATAATTCAACGTTATCTTTTTGCGTATGTTTTGTTCTAATGGGCTGGAACATGGATGTGGTGTGGAGTTTGCACTGGATGTTAGTTTTTGTCTGTTGTCTGATATGATGTGTGACTTTGTTTTGAAGATGAACCTGGTAAGCAAGTTAGGAGCGCCATCGCAATTAAAAACACTTGCAAGTCTCATGTAGCTTTCAAGGTGCGGTGCATACGGCTATTGCTGTTTTATTTTTGTGTTGTTGGATTCAGAAAGTGGTATTTGACAAATAACTTTGTCATGTTACACATAAGATAAAATTTGAGACAAATTGTGCTTAGTTTGGTCGTGTTGGAAAGTTGCCGACAGTAATTGCCAGTGTGTTGACATTCTCGGGAAACATTTAGCTGTTTTTCAACTTTCTACACTGTGGAAATCTGAGGTCAAGATAGTGTCTTAGCTGGACTGCTTCACCAACTTTGGCAAGACTGGAGAAAATTTTCTTCAGATAAACTAGAATATTTATTCAAAATTGAGGATTTCCATTAAAAGTTTAAAACATATTCAAACTCTATAGTTATATGATGTTAGGATGGAATTACAACATTTTGAGCATGGTTATCTTCATATTTGGTGTCCCTGTATATATTTTATAGTAGGAGTACTTCTATTGCTGTTTACTGACTTTACTGAAATAATTATATTTAAGGTTACTGAAACAATTATCTTCATATATGCTTGCTCTATTTATCCTCTTTAAGGTTACTACTAATAGTGTTGTTTTCTTTTGTCTTAGTTTCAAACAACTGCTCCCAAGAGCTGTTATATGCGTCCTCCTGGTGGTATTCTTGCACCTGGTGAAAGTATAATAGCAACAGGTAATTTATCCTTCTAAACTAGTATTCAACAAAAAATAGCTAAATACTTGCAAGTTGGGGAATCTCTTACAATTTTGTCATGTCTTTGGCAGTGTTTAAGTTTGTCGAGCCACCAGAGAACAATGAGAAACCAATTGATCAGAAAAGTAGGGTGAAGTTTAAAATCATGAGCTTAAAAGTGAAAGGCGAAATGGACTATGTACCAGAACTGGTAATGTATTATTCTCCCTCTTGCATGGTGTCTGCCATCACTCTCCATGTTTCACCCTAATGCTTTTAAGTACTGATCACAGTTGTATCATGTAATTCTCCATGCAGTTTGATGAGCAAAGGGATCATGTTGCAGTGGAGCAAATTTTGCGTGTCATTTTTCTTGACCCTGAACACCCTAGCCCTGTAAGACTAATGATTAGAAAAAAAAGAAAAAAAAGTAATCAATCACTAAATTTAGTGATTCCAAAATTAGAAAGGGCAAAACAAATTTCCATCTCTAGTTGGTTACTAATTCATTAATTTTTGTTATTAGTCTAAAAAGTCAAGAGTGAAACTGATGTGGTTTTTACCTAGTTGGTTGTGCATGACCATAGTTACCAGTAAATTTGTTATCCCTCATATTCGTACAGTTTGTGAAATGAACTTTTATTCTTCTAGTACTAATTATTTGCTCCAATTTGAAACATGGTTTCTGAAAGGCTTTTGATAAGCTTAAACGGCAGCTAGCTGAGGCAGAGGCTGCATTAGAAGCAAGAAAGAAGCCCCCAGAGGAGACAGGTCCTAGAGTAGCTGGGGAAGGACTTGTTATAGATGAATGGGTCAGACATGTTAATCATGTTTTCCTTCCATTTTGGTCTAGTTTGTGATGAAATTCATGGTGTCATTTCATTTTATCTCATTCATTTTCATTGCTTTTTGTGTAGAAAGAAAGAAGAGAAAGATACCTAGCCAGACAGCAGGTTGAAGTGGTAGATTCAGTGTAAAATATTTATTTCCATTGTACTTTTTTTTTTGTCCTTAATTTTCTCCAATTTGTAATATGAAAATTTGAAATTCTTAGCCACTTAATTGTCAAATGTGGTTGAGTGACCTAGTAAAAGTGCTCTAAGTAGATATCATGTAAGCATTTTGTTTTTATTTAGGTAGATGTGATTGAACCAATGATTGTGGTACTTAATTATACTGCTGCATCAATGATGTTTTACTTTCATAGTTTCATGCAACTATTGATGTGGATGATGGATTTACTCAATACTGTATGCTTGTCTAATGTATCCTCATTTCTAACTCAGACATGATACATAGACATACAAATGTGGGTGGGGGAGTATTAATAAGTTATTTTTCTTTTATTTGTTTGAATGAATCTTTTTCATAAATATTTTAAAAAATATAAAAAAAAGAAATATTTTTTCTATAAATTAAAAATAACTATTTTGAAACATTTCCTTCTACAAAATTAAATATAAAATAATTAACATATTTTAAATTAATAACTGAAATTTTTTGAAATAATTTATTCATGATACTGGATTAAACTATTGAGTTATTTAAGTAGCAGTCATTTTAATTCTAAAAAATACTGTTAAAGAAAATGTGAATTTTATATTTTGATTAAATGGTCGGATAAACTTTTCTACATCCTTTACACGAATGTTGTTGATGTAAAAAAATCAAACATTATTGTCGGGATATGATACATTTGTGTGGGAAGATTTACAAGAATATGATGATATAAGAATAATGTTCAACGTTACCAAGAGTTTGATAATATCTCATCTTAGAAAATGAAATCCGAAAATACTTTAATACTCCGTCTAATTGTTTTAAATTTGTATAACGTTTTAAAATTTTAATAAGAATTTAAAAAAATATATATTAGATTTAAAATAAAAAATACAGAATATAACATGAGGACAATATATATATATTAACTTTAACATTAAAATAATGATTTAATATTTTTAATTTGTTAAAAGAAAAAATATTAAAATGTTTATTTAATTAAAATAAAATTATTAAATTTGAGTTCATATATAATTGCAAGAAAGTATGATTATAAATATTAGGAACAGAAGTTTGATTTCAAAAAATCATGATTTAAAAAAAAATATATAAAAAACAAAATAATTTAGATTTAATTATATTTTACACACGTACAAATATTATTCTAATAATTATATTGGTATTTTTTAAATAATTTGTTGTGACTAAAATCTAAACTTGTCAACGAAACCTTATCCGTTAACATCGTTAGCATCGAAAGAAAAAAATTAAAATAAAATAAATATCATTGGTAGAGAAGAAGACGGGATTTTTGTAGTTCGTTGTCGGGTTTTAATTGGCCCCACTAAATATCACTCATCCATATTATCTCTTTGGATAAGTCTACCATAATATTTTATTAAATTAATAATTTTATTTTAAAAATTATATTTTAAATTATTAACTAAATTGTAAAACTAAAATACGTTACCAATTAATTTACTTTTATGATGGCAAATCTTCACTCCATTGACCATATTGTGAGTATGTTTTCATTTTATAAATTTTATCTAATATATTATTATTAACAAATTTTCCATGGTTTCATTTAATAATATTTTAAGTTTTTTTTTTCTAAATTATTATACAATTACTTAGGATTATACTTAATTGAGTTATATATATATATATATATATATATATATATTAAAATATATTTTTATTAAAAGAGACTATATAGTCAGTTGAGTAATAATTTTTATTTTAAAATACACTAATATTTAAATTTTACAACCATAATTCTTTTGAAAAAACAATTAATTATTAAATTGTGTAGTTATTCAGAGATCATAGACTTATTTAGATGTTAAATTAGAGTGGATGAAAATTATTATAATATTTTGTATGTGTTTTTTTTACTTAAAATTATAATTGATTTTAATAACATGGCTAATTTTTAACATCAACTTCTATTATGAGTTATTAAAGTGAAGTTTAATTTAAAAGTAATATACAAAAGCTTTCATTATTAGATTTGTCTTATTAGAATCATAGGTCAGAAGTTGCAGAAGCAAACTTTTTAATAATTATTTATTATTTATTGTTTAGGAAAGGTGTTTGATATTTTACCTTACAATTAAAATTATTTATTATTTTTTTATTTGGTATGCTTTATTATTAATATTATTTATAATAAATACATAAAATGTTTCAAAAATTAAATCTAAATAAAAAATTCATTAAAAATATGATAAGTTTATGTAAATCTTACACAAACCAAGTGTTATTTACGAAATACCAAGATAATTGCAGGTTTTTAATCATGTCCAAGAGACTAAAATTGGGTCATGGAGAGGAAGGACAAAGACTCACTAAGAAATTATGTCAAAAAATTGACTGATGAAAGATTTTAGAAGAATTTTTCATAATTTTTTTCTTAAGAATAATACAAAAAAAAAAGGTAATGATGATAAAATAAGTGAGAAATGAAAAAAAAAATAACTGAAATATAATAATTGAGGAAGGAAATAAATAACACAAACCATGTAAAACTGTACAAAAATGAACATATTCTGTTGGTAAGTGTAACTTTGTGACAATTTTTCATTAATGGTTTGATATAAGATGTTTTTATTGTTATTTTTTAACTGTCTGAAATAAATGGTGTTAGTTTTTTTTATTAAAATATTAGTTATTTATATTTTTCAATGATTAAAAACTTTTGATAAAAAAATTAGTTATTTCATATAAAATTTTATTTTATACTTTTCATATATTTTTAACATGAAAGATAAAAATTTTAGAATAATTTCCTTTTTTGTGATTGTTAATCATTAATTTAATTATATGAATGAAAATATTATAATAATTGTTGTTGAAGTATTTAGATATTAGTTTTTTAATATATATATATATATATATATATATATAGTTATCATCTTATTTATTTTATTTTTAATGTATGTTTTTTAAAGATATAATTTTACTACTTAAATTTTAGAGTAAATATAACTTTTTGATAATTGACTCTATTTTAATAATTTTATTATGATAAATTTAAGGTAAAAATAATATGATAAAATTTTAGAAAATATATAAAATAAATTAAAGAGAATAATAAATATAATATTGGATATAAATTTCAGAAAAAAAAATATTGGATATAAAGACAAGGTCCCACTCCGATTAAAACCACTCTTAAGTTTAGAGGCGTAGTATACCGTCACTTAAAACCACTTTACACACATGTTTTTTCCTTTATAAAGACGCACACCGATCAGTTTCCTAGACCCAACAACCTAAGACATGAGTTACTTGCTTCGGGTTTGGATGTCCACTACTGTGGCAGCTGCGGATGGATTCACAACCACCAGGAACCGCCGAAGGTTATTCTCCGTCGGAGACTCCTCAGAGTCGAGAGCCATCAAGAAGAGTGATGTGGCAGATCGACGAGGCGAAACCGAAGAGTCTCTCCGAAAGGTTATGTATTTCAGTTGCTGGAGCCAGGGCTAGCATCCTCTGTTTCGCATCCCACTGAACTTTAATTTGCATTTTTTTTTTCTTATTTCTTCATCTTGTGAAATGTAAGTTACATTGTAACTTATTAATCCAATTTCTCAATTACATGAATAAATGGATAAGTTAGTTAAAATTGACATTCATAAGAAATGATGCATGCAACTAAAACTAACATCAGAAATCTCTAATACAACACCATGGTCATGTCATGAATCAACCAATATATTTGCTTGATTTTGGTAAATTTACATTGATCATATTATGATGGTGTTTCGGCTGGAATTTCGATTGATTTCAACCCCCGATATGTTTTGATACTAACCAAAATTCTACCACGTAGGTTAGCAAATTAATTTTCAATCGAAATACGTATGAGGATCGAACCTTACCTAGTATCGAAAATGCTACTTTTTTGTGTTTTGTATTTAAGATGTAGAAAGCAATAAAACGTCGAATCGAAAAATAATACAGGATACTAAATTGCTAAAACCCGTAAAATGCAGAAACCTTAAAATTACGTTAAATGTAAATGACAAGGAATCGAAAGAACGGAAATGTAAATGACAAGGAATCAAGATTGCAGAAAATATACCAGAAATCGAAATTGCATCAATGTTAAAGGACAAGGAAGCTTAAACGTGGAAACTTAACTTTCATTGAATTGAAATGACAAGGAATCGAAAGAACAAAAACATAAAATTGCTGAATATAAGGTGCATCAAAATAAATTACCAAGGAAAATAAAGAAAGCGGTAAAGGTACTCGATAAGCATGGAAATCCAGATTGCCAGAAGCTTTATGGTGTTCGTCATGTTCCGGTAGACTTCTCACTACTAATTCTGTTCTCTGCCAATTTTCTGCTCTCCCTTTATTCCTTCCTCCTCTGCTCTATTTATAGGGCATCATTCAAGCCTTCCAGGAGCAGTTAACAAAACTGCTACCACGTTCTTCGTGCACGTTGTAGTTTCTTCTTCTGTGGTGTCAAAACTGCACCCACGTTCCCATGATCTTCAACCTCTGCCACGATTTAGAAACTGTTTCCTATGTGCGTGTTTAACTCCTTCTCTTTATGATCTGACCACAATTTTGATATTTATGCGGGTTAACCTTTCTTTCGATTTAGACTTCGATTTTATCGAGAACTTTGGATTACTTTTGATTCCTTTTAACCTTAGCATCATATATTTCTAATTTCTTGGTTTGTTTCACAATAAACTTTTGACTATTATTTCTCCGATTCCGACTCTAACTTTCGATTTTATGTGCCACGCCCTTCTAATTGAACATCGAATGGTTTCTCATCCACCTTTTCGCTTTACCGATCAATCACATGTTTCTCGATTTTTCTTTCCTTCATTTTTCGATCGCTTTTCTCGATTTCCTACTAACAAAATGCCCCCTTGGAAGAATATAAATAGTTTCTGTTTATATTCTTTCAACACGATTCCCACCTTTGCTTGTTGGAGGCCCACAAAACTTAGGGTTTAGGGTTTTTGGGGTTCTAGGGTTTATAGGGTTTTCAAGTTTCCTTTTGCTTTATGTCACCATCGCGTCAGTCTGCTGTCTTACTGTACATGCTACATTAATTACCTTTCACCTCCGTCGTTTCCAGCCCCCTAGGCTATTTTCCCTTTAAACTCTCTATTGGTTTTTTACTCTGGTTTTTTACGCGAACCTTTATCCCTTTGCAATTTCATCTTCTTCCTTGAGCTTTTGTCTTCATCCTTGCGCCTCCATCTCTTACCTTGTTTTCCTCTAATCTACCAATTACTGAAATGGCAACTTCTTCCAAGTCTTCTGACTTTTCCGCTCCACCCCTTACCTCATTGGCATCTAACCTGCTGGAGATCAACAATCAGAAATTTGCTCCAATCCCCCTGATGGAGGAAGCTTCTCAGAAAATTGCTGAGACGCAGGTACTCATTCCTTACACTGCTGATGGTGTTAATTTTGCTTTCGGGGGTCCTATTCGTTCTAGTAGTGGAACTTTTTCTTCTTTCAACCTCTCAAATAGCCCAGCTCTTATTCACCAACCTGAAGTTCGGACTGATTTTTTGAACATGGTCTCTAGAGTATACCGAACGGGCCCTCCCTCCAAAAAATCTTTGTTCATTAGATGGTTCGATAGGGTTAAGACAAAATTCGGAAACCATTGGAGAGACGTGAGAATTTTCGATTTCTTGCATTTGTCCCGATGTGACTTGTCTCATTTGGATATGGCTATGTTCTTATCTGTTGTTCACTTGTGGAATAAGGAAATACATGCTTTGGAATTACCTTGCGATCCCCTTTCGCCCACCCTTTTCGAAGTCGCAGCCATTACTGGATTAAAACCTACAGGGGAAAGATATTTTAAGGGTGCATATCCTTCGGATAATTCTCTAAGGTCCAAAATCGATTGAGAATCGAAAGCCTATGGTCATTTCCTCGAGAAGCATTTCGTCAACGACGAATCAAAAGCTGTAACTGATGAAGAGCACATAGCCTTTTTGGTGTACTGGTTGTGTACCCATGTTTTCTGCCCAATCAATCCAAATTTCCTCCCATCTGTTTAACCTTGCATATCTCCTTCACTTAGGCCACCCTAGAATATGTTTAGCCAAACTTTTGTTAGCACATGTGTATACTGCTTTCGACGAGGCTGTCGAAATTTTGAGTACTCCTAAAGCTTCGGGAAATTTTTCTGGCCCTATTTGGTTTGTACAGTTATGGCTGAATTCGATTTTTGAGAGCATCCTTCCCCCAACTTCCACCATCCCCCCAAGTGTAAATATAGAAGGTGCCCGATTGTCTTCTCGCCATCCTCACCACAAACCCGACGAAGCGACTTATTGTAGATACCTTAACTTTTTGTTAACTAGGTTTAATTTCGATTCAACTTTGGCCCCTTTTACCATACATCTTGGACGAATGAGTGACCAACTTAGGGGGTCAATTTGGTTTAAGTCAAAATTCCCTGCTTTAACTCCTGGGTTGCAATCGGAGCTGGTCGATGTATGGAGTAATTATCTAACTCAGGATGTACTAGTATCGGGTTTCCAATCTAAGGACTTTAAGTTTATCACTTACTACCCCCAACTTCTCTCGAGACAATTTGGTTTGAGCCAATCTTTACCCTTTTTTCCCCTTAATACCTTCCCGAGGTCCAAGTTAAGTGAATCGACCATCGAACGGGAGCTGGTCAAACAACTACCACAAACCCCACTACTTTTTTATCCTTATGCCTTTGAATCAAATTATTTATCAACTGTGGGTTTCTCTCAATGGTGGGCCGATTGGTTCTTGAGTAATCATTCTACCTTTGACGAAGTTCGACAGAAATTGACTACTCATCATTCTCTTGTGTTGCAGGACAAATCGAAAACGAAGAAAGGTACACACTTCCACTGTCTTCAAATATCTCGATTCGAGATTTTTTATCAAATATGTTACAACCCACTGAAATTAGAATCGACCTATTACGATGCTGTTATCTCCTTATCCAATAAAACAGACACTAATCGATCGAACCACAAAATAATCAATCCTCTAGGTAGAACCCCTTTTGAAATGTATTGCCCAAATCGTCTTCCCACTTTTCCCACAGCTCCTTTTGGACTTGTCAAACCTTTAACTCATCCCAAATGGGTTCGAGAATTGAGATCCCTAAGGGAAACACTTCGCCCAAAACCCAAAAACAAAAATATTTCTGTATCGAAATTATCTTATTTCCCTTACCTCCATCTCCCTTAAATTCTCCTACCTTCCTGGCTTGTACATATCGATCGAGTCACGATTTTGACTCCATCACCTTTTGGTGAGATTTTACTGCTTTTTTATGCTTTTTTGATTCTGTATATTGTAAGCTCATCTGTCTTCTTTTATTGACAGTTTCGAAGTCCACCAAGGCCATCGCTGTCGAAAAAGGTCAGGAGAAGAAACAAGAGGACTGGGAGTCCTCAGATGAGTCGGACTCATCGGCCTTTGTCAGAAAACGCAAACAATCGGCCACCATTTCCTCATCTTCGAAGAAATCGAAGGTTCTTTTTGATTTCTCATTGTTTTATTCATTTTTCTGTCTGGTTGATCTACATTCTTATACTTATCTCTTTTCGATTCCTAATTTTAGAAACAAAAATCAAAGAATCCTCGATCCGTCCAACCAATTGCCCTTGATCCATTGTCGACGGACTCTAACACGATCCCTACAACGGGCCAAACAACGCCTGCTACTCGCTCAAGTCACGTGAGTTTTCTTTTTACACTTTATATTTTTATATTTCAATAAAACCTATGACGTGACTTCAAAATTCGATATTTTTCCAGGATCATCCATCGGGGACTATATCGACAAATGTCGATTCTCAACTTTTATCACTAACACCCCTTCCTGAGGTACTACTCATATCATTATGTATAAATGTTTGTTTGACTTTTTATACATTTCCTTTTCTGATATTTGTTTTCGATTTTTAGCAACCTGAGGCTGTACAGACTCTTCTTCCTGCCTCAGCACCCCTTGCTCTACCTCCCCCTGGTAATTAAAACTTTTTCCTTCACTGTTAACTTTTTCATTTCATTCTTTCTTATGAATTCTCGATTTATCTCTTCGATTTCTTTTCTTCTCAGTCAATATCCCGGTAGTCCATGTTCAATATTCTTCTCCAGCTTCTGCAGAGCAACAGGATTCCCCTCCTTTTGCGATGCCTCCTTTCGAGTTGCTTTCGGCGACATTACCCGAGATAGGTGCGCCTGCCCCAAGCAATGTGCCAGAATATCGAGCTGCAATCGAAGAAGATCCTTTTTCAATACTCGATATTCTGTTGTCAGAAGAAGCGACGCCGTCGGACTCTTCCAAGACGCCTATGACCTCAACTGAGGGACCATACCAGCTGAAGCAACGTTTTCGATCTTTCTTTTATTCCTCGCCTCTTGAAGTTCTGGTGGAGTCGCGCGACAAGAAGAAACAATTTCAAGATATCATTACTGCCCTTGAGATGTGCCCTGATGATGATCTCCCGAGGGGTCTCGATGTGGAGG